AAAGTATAAAAATTGTAATGGAATACATGCAATATTAAAAAGTATGCATTCAATAAAAAAAAAGTATCTAAAAGTAAATTATAAAATTTATCCACCTAAAGGAAAAACTTTTTAAAAGAATGAACAAATCTTGTAACCAATGGTTTGTTTAATAGACTCAATCTGTGTAAATAGATTTTGAACAGTTATAATTATTGCTCATTTTATGGTATGCACTGCACTGATTAATGAAACACCATCTTTGCTGATCAAACTGCAAATTAAAATACATGACCATGTAATAATACGTACTACGTATAAGCCATGAAAATGCAATAAAAATTTTGAAAAAAAACTTACAGTATTATCTTTTATGGCATGTTTTTCCTTCTCACACTCATTTTCAAATTGTGGTAACTTTCTATCATTGACACAACTACAATATAAAATTACTATAAAATCAAGTACTATTTTATAAAAAGATACTGATACTTTACCCACAATCTTCTTCTAAATTTAATTTGTAGTTTTCTGTTTGTATAGAATATTTTTGAGTTTGACTTGAAATAATAAATTGCCATTGACTTTGTAAGTGTGAATTACTTTGTTCTCTTAAACGTGTTAAATCCAATTTATTTGAAATTTCTTTAAAAAAATTCATAAGAATTTATTTAAGAATAATACAATGAATTTCAAGAATCAGTTAAAGGCATTGGTCTAAATTACCTTTTTCATATATATTTGTATGCATAACTTTTTGCGTTTTGTTAAAGTCTCCATAAAATTCTTTTTGTATATCTGTCTCGTAAAAGTGTTGATGTTCATTTTTCGTAGTAATAAAATCTGAATTATTGTCCATAATTATAGTTATTCTTTCATAAAGTTCTGCCAGTTTTTTCATATCCAATGACTACAAGTAATGGTTTTCATTCATTAATTATTTTCAGTAAAAAATATATTTACATACTTGTAACCAGTTTTCTAAATCAAATGTTCTTCCGTCATTCATAACAGTTTTTTCATCTTCAAATTGTTTTTGTAAAGTATCAACTTTTTGTTTGTGACTTTTATAAAGGGCATTCCAACTGCTGTCATAAACATTCTTCATGGATATTATCTTATCTTGAAATTGATCTATCTGTAACTGTATAATATTTTTAAGTCATAATGAAAAAATTTCTTTTTAAAAGTAATTAAATAATATCTACTTTAAGATCTGTATTTTCTTCTGTTAACCGACTTATAATATCTTGAAGATTTTTCATTTCAGAATTTTTACTTTCAATTTGATTTCGAAGCTTTTGACTGCTATTCTGATTTTCATTATCTCGAATTTCTAGAGGATTTATTGTATACCGTACATTCAATATATCTTCATCTACAGAATTTAATTGTTGAAATATCGTATAATCATTTTCTAAGATTTTATTCTTTGTATTTATACTTCTTAATAGTTGCTGATTCTGAATTTCTTCTATCTCATTTTCTTTTGTTTCCTTTTTCCAATTTTCACTTGGCTTCAAGTCTTCATTTATTTTTTGATATATCTATAAATAAAAGGAACGTGTTAATAGTTAATGCAAGAATAACAATATTATATATGATAAATTATTTCATTAACCAAGTATTTATCTTTCAAACTTTCATCGAAATAATCTTTTGATACAAGTTGCTTGTTAAAATTTGATATTCTTTCATGCACTTTATTGGACAGTGTATACAATTTGTTTCTTAATTTTTCTTCTATTGCTTCAGTATATAGTTTATGCGATAGTTCCGAATTTTCATTTTTCCAGTATTCAACATTCTGTTTCAAATTTTCGTTTTCATGTTCAAACGCATTTAAGTTATTATCTAGGTTTTTAATTTTGTTTTGATCATTCACGAGTTGAGTTTTTAAATTACTTAGCTCAGTTTTTAATTTCTTTTCACTTTTATCCAATTTTAGAAGATCTTCTTGTAATAAATATATCACATCAATTTTATCGTTTTGCTCTGTTAAAGATAAGATAGTCTGATTCATTTCTGAAAGTTTATTTTCAGCAATTTTTAATTTTTTATTCAGTAGTATATTTTCATCAAACACGTTATGTAGCTTTTGTAAGTCCACCAACTCTGTATTTTTTATTTCTAATTCTTTTTTATACTTTTGGCATTCTTTTAATAATTTGTTTCTTATATTATGAAGATTCTTGTTTTGCGATTGCAGTACATTATAATTCTCATGACATTTACATAACTCAGTTTTAAGTATTTGATGTTGCTCCTCTAATTTGAGTATGAATTCGTCTTTTACACTAAGTTCTGTCATTATTTTTGTTAATTGTTCTTTAAATGCAGCATTATTTTCTTCCGAATGTATACCATCACCGTCCCCCTTTCTCCCTAAATACTGTGCAACTTCTTCCTTTAATCGAACAATTTCTTCATTTTTATTGTCTAACTCCTGTTGCTGTTTCTCTATTTCCTCAATTATTTGTACATGTTGATCTCCAGCACCTTGTTAATAGAATTTTTAATAATTGCTGCACAAATTTTTACAATTTCATGTAAGATAGAAAAACAAAAACAGTGAAAAACTGTACCTTGAATAGCTATACTTATTCTATCGATAAAAGATTTGAAGTATATTTCAAAAGCGCAATTAATCTGCTTGTCAGATAAATTATTTTTTTCTGCATACAATATTGTATTTAATAGTTCGTATAAAATTGTTTTAACAAATTCAATTATCTTTAATTGTATTTGGGACAAATCATTAGGTAGCTGTGTTATATAGGAATTGTACTTCTTATGTTTTTCATTAAATAGATTACATAATTTCAATATTCGCTCTTTCTTCAAAGATAAATCTAATAGAAAGGATATTATAATGTGTATTAATAAGTATTTTATAAAAATACAAATTGATTGCACCTTGGGAATCGTTGATAGCTGACTCTGTGTCTTTAAGCACATCATAAAAGTTGTATATTTGTTTAATCATGAAGGGTCGTTCAACTTCAAGGTATACTTGTAACTTTTGAGTGAGAGAGTGCAATTTGACCATAAAATGTGAAAAATATTCAAGTATTTCTTTATCTATTTCACTAATATTGTTCTTCTTATTTAACTTAATGATATAGTTGTGACATCCCTGAAAATAAATCTCATATAATTATTTATTTCGTATAAAAAAAAATATTAACTTAATTGTAGAAAGTGTTGAATTTTTAAGCTTGAAAAAAATGTACATTATCAGCCATCCCATTGAAAGAATTTTCACTGTTCGCAGAATTGGAAATATCTTCAAATTCTATTTCACTTGGATTATATTTATTTTGTCTTACATTTAACACAATTATACTATCTTTTGCATCTATAAAACAAATATTTATTAACATTGTTTGATACGTTCAAATATAGTTTTCATAAATAAGATTTGAAGTTATAATTTTACTTATGTTCTTCGAATCTGCTTCAGGTTCGCAATTTAAAATATCTGAAATTATATTTTTCAAATTCTGGTTGAAATAAATTTGTTGTTTATCATCTCCTACTGATTGCTTTAAATTTTCTATTTGTTGTAACAAGTGCTGACGTTCTATTTTATAACTTTGAAACCTTGTCATTAGACAATTTATATTGTACAATAAATTATTTGTCTCTGCAGCAATATCTAAGTCATTATTTACGCAATTATAAACATCTTCACATAAACCATTAAATTCCTCCAAATTGTTCAAAGCATGTTTTAAACTATTAACGAAATCGCCTGTTTCTCGTTTAAGTAAAAGTAATTGTTGTTCGTACTCGGAGATTTTAATAGTTTTTTCATCAATTTCCGTTTTTAAACTTTCTAACATGCGTTTTGTTTTCTCCTAATTAATAGAAGGTTGGAATAATTATAAAATATTGAAGTACTTTCTATACAATATTACAGAATTCATGTACCTGCTCTTCGTAAGTAACACTAGTTTCACTTATCAGCGTCAATAATCGTTTTATTTCTTCCTCTTGATCTGCAAGTATGCAACTTTGTTCATAATTTTGTTTTGCAAGATCGTCTTTTTCATATAAAGCTTTTTTTAGTTGATCTACAATCAAATCGTATTTTTCAGCTTTCTGAGCTAGTTGTTCCATTATTTGTAATTTCTTCTATAATGTAAAAACAATAAGTAAAATTGTAATCGTTTGAAAATGGATAATATCAATAAATTAATAGCAACTAACTGTGGCACATAATTTGAGTTCTTCAATCTCCTGTGATTGTAAGTAACAACTTTCATATTTTTTACTTAATTCTTGTTTTAGTTGGTTGATTAAGTATGTACTACTATGTAACTAAAAGAAAGTAAAATATAATATAAACAATTTATGTTTTAAGAAATTAATAGTGTATGAAATATATGTTACCTCTGATTTTAAATTTTCTATTGCACAGTTACGTTCATGTTCCACTTTTCTCAACTTATCACTCAATGTCTGTTAAATAATTATTAAATATTCATTATTTACCTATAATAGTTTTCAAGAAGCAGATGTCCTGAATTAATTTGTATGGTGTTACTGTATATACTTGCTTTGAGATTCTCTTGTTGCGTATTTATATAATCTTCCTTCTGTTTTAATGAAATCTGTAATCTTTCATTGAAACCTCGCATTTCATCTAATTCAACATCTCTTACCTTTAAAAGAAATATATTTATTCATGTATTACATGTACAAACTATCTATTATTACAATGCTTCGTACACAAAGTTCATTCTTCAAAACGATAATCTCAGAATCTTTTTGAATAATTATTCTTTTATGAATGCTGTTATTTATATTAAAATTAGATTCTGTTATTTCACTACTAGACTCCGATGAAGTTCCAATATCTTGAGAACTCTCACTGCGAGATGTACGAGATTCAAAACTTTCTTCTTCATAATTACTTGTTCGAAAACTGATTTTATCTGGTTCCATTACATTATTACTCTCTTCGCTGGACTTATATATGAATGATGTTTGCGATATAGCCTACATTTATGAATAATATTAATACAAATGTATTATTTAAATATTGTAAGCTATAAACACATTCATACAGATGCAGTTATAATTTTATTTGAACATTTGTCAACTTGACCATCAAATTGTATTCCTATATCATGCATTTCTTGTTCTACCTGTAATAAAACATTTATTCAAATAACAGTACCAAAAATTAATTGACATATAATTTTCATACCTGTAAAGCTATATCAACATATTCAACGCAGTGTGGTGTATTTTCAATATAATCTGGAAATTGGAAAGTAAAATGAGCTTATTAGTAAATTCATAAATAATATATTATGACTAATTCTATATTTTACCTCCAGTAGAGCGTGGTTTAGGCACAGATTTAAACTGTGATACTAACGTATAATTATTCATGGATGATTGTATATCAAATGCAGTTAAAGAATGAGGATAGAATTGAGAAGACTGATTTACAAGAGTCAACCTATCTTTATTACGTCGAAAATTTCTTTCAATAGGTAAATAAACTGATAAACACGAATTTGAATAAATCAGAGGAACTGATTTACCAACATTAACTAATGATCCCATTACATGATTACTTTGCACTGATTCCTTTATCTTCGGATTATAATCCTACAAAAGAAATTTGAAATTAATTTATAGATGTAGAAATATGTAAATACATTTAGAAAATTACTTACCAAATTTTGTAATTGTTCTTTTTGTTTGGGAGTAAGTTTGAGATTTTTATATTTTTGGAGTTCCCTTTTAACTATTTGGAGCTCACTTTGTGTACGTGAATTAAGCCGAATTATATTATCAACAACTACGTTGACTGGTATTATTTTTCCTATCTACGAAAATAAATATATATAAGTATATTATTATTTCCATTCTATATTGTTACTTATATAATTGATTTAATCCATACTGGAGAGCCATGTTCATTAAGTTCACGAAAATAACGTGAATTCTCCAAAGAATTTGAGCTCCAGGCTCTAATATCTGAACAAGAATCATATAATTTTAAACGACCTTCCAATCTTTTCCGTGGCAAAACATAATCACCATATGTCAAAGGTATTCCACTGTTAGGTCTACCAGCTAAAAAAATTCGGGGACCATGTTCCACGTAAGACATGTTGTTTACTTGTATTTTTAATTGATTCTATCCAGTTCATACATTTAATATTGCTACTAAAAATACAACTGGAAGAGTTTAAAAATTTCTCATTGAAAGTATAATTTATACAGCATACCGTATTACTTATATAATTGTTTCTATTTATATACCATAGTAACCATAAAAAACAATGCTTAATATTATGCAAATGTAAACACAAGGTGACCAATAAAGTTCATGTAATTATACAATAAAATAGTTTATTTTATAAGCTGCCATTAAAAAGAGTTATATCATTACAAATAAGTACTGTTTTGTAATTTTCGGGTTTCTATCGACGTTACAAAATACAATGTAGACGCGAGTTAAACCTCATAACATGCCTTGAATACATAAAATATAGAAATTATATCAGAGTGACTATATTTCAAATAAGAACTCACGAACATAACAAATTTATTTACTAGTGTGTGTATACTTTATTTAAGTACAAAATACTACCAATTTATGATAATGGAATACACCTTTCTTTCAAAGTGAACGACCGTAATTTTCTACTTACAACTATGTACTAATTAAGTACATAACATTGTAAAATACTATATTTCGTACACGAAGTTTTACAAGATAAATACAACTCTTACAAAATATTTCATTTCATTTTTTGTGTATGTTTCACTTTCGTTTAGAGTAGTTACTATAAAATAGAACCCGTAATTTTGATAATGGTTGCAACGTAGAGAGATATATTTTTTCTAATTTGGCAACTAAAATATTTGAAGGTGTAAATCGATTTATAATTGTATTACAATAAGATTTATATATCTTTTCCTTTATGTACACATATATCTTTACCAGTTCATAAAGAAATACGATTAAGCGAACATAAACGTGTTTCGCTGTGTAGGTAATAAGGCTTTATATGTTTCTTTTTAAAATAATAATACATACTAGCGAGACACGGTTGTATTTCCCTTGCACTTTAAAAATACTATGTAAATGGAATGCGATACGATATCACAATCCGGTTTTATAGTCATAGACGGAACAGTGAAGGCACAATTATGTAAAGAAAATATTTTACATGTATATAAATATGTTTCTTATCCTTTAAAATTCTTATATCTAAAATTTGTAAAGTACATTATACTTCAATATCTAGTGCTCAATTAGACAACAAATAACATTTATAAAAATGGAATTAAAATTCAAAAACTTCAACACTCTAAACATGCAGTGGAATAAACAGAATACATACACGAATAGACGTGTTTGAATGAATTATAATAGAATAGTTCTACTTTGCCATTTTGCAAAATATATTTGGAATGATCTGCACATAAGGCCACTCGAGTTTTTTATTCATGTATTTCATTAAGAATGAAATGTTCATATTAGCATTTCACCCTCTTAGATTGTCATTATTATATACACTTTCATTATTGAACAAAGACATCTACTTATAATGATAAATTAAGTTACTGAACTTCATTATCTGCATTATATACACGAAAAATTCATAAAAATTGATTAAAAGATGAATATGTTATGAAGTGATGAATAACTACAAATCATGTTTTAATTCAAACCTTACTTATTAATTGTAAAACATGTTACTGTTTCAATATTCATCACTATTAATTAATATTCATATCGCTATCTTCTTATTGATTCGAAATATATATGTATACTTTGTTCAAATAGTTCACATAAAAAGATTAAACAGAAATTCTTGCATTAAAAATGTTTTTTTTTCTAAATTAAACTAAAATATTAAGTGAAAAATATATAACAAAGTATTAGTGTTCCTTAATTTTAATGATACTATTTATTTTTAATT